GTGTTTGTAGCAGCATTATTCATAATACCCAAAAAATGGAAACAATGCAAATGTCCATCAACTGAAGAATGGATGAACAAAATGTGGCCTATCCAAACAGACTGTTATTCAGCAAGAACAAGGGATGAAGTACTGACACGTGCTGCAACACAGATGCACCTTGAAAACACACTTAGTGTAAGAAGCCAGTCACAAAAGACCCTGCTCTGTGTGATTCCCTTTATAAAGGTCTAGAATAGGCAAATCTATAGAGACAGAAAGAAGATTTGTGGTTGCCCAGGGCCAGGGCAGTTGGGAGAAATGGAGAATGACGGCTAATGGGCACAAGGGTTCTTTCTGGGGTGATGAAAATGTTCTAAAATTGGTTGTGGTGATGGTTGCATAACTGTGAATATACTAAAAACCAAGAATTGTATACTTTAAATGTGTGAATTTTATAATATGTGAATTATATTTCAATAAAGCTGTTATATTTTTAAAAAGAGAGTGATGTAAAAGGAAAGGCCTGGGTGGTCTCAGATAGAAAGGTCAGGGAAAGCTTCTTTGAAGAGGTGACGTTCAAGCTGAGAGCCAAATGACAAGAAAGAGCCACCCGTGTGAAGATGGGGGAGGCATTCCAGACCGGAGGAACAGCTCGTGCAAATGCCCTGGGGTGAGAATGAGAAGAGGGGTTTCAGGAACAGGCAGGCAAGCGTGGCTGGGGTCTAGTAAGCAAAGAGGAAAGCACATGAGATGAGAGTGGAGAGTGGAGAATTTAGAGTAAGGGATCTGGATTTGATGTAGAGTGCCGAGGGGGACTCGAGGAGGGTTTTAGATTTTTTAAAGGTCAGTCTGGCTGCTGCATGGAGACTGGATTGTAGAGGGCAGGAACGGAAGCAGGGAGACCAGTTAGGATGCTCTACGGTGGTCCAGGCAAGAGTTGCTAATGGTTTGAACTACGGGCGTGGAGGAAATCAGATCAAACACTTGCTGAGCGCTTGCACGGCCAGCACTGTCTGAGCACCTCACATACGTGAGCGTCTATCCCCTCATTTATAACATGGGGATAAGAACAGAACCCACCTCACAGAGCGCTGTGAGGATTAAGATTAGATGACACACCCTGTACCATGCTTGCCCAGAGTCTAGCACAGAGTAAGTGCTCAGTGCAGGGTAGCTGCTATTGGTGTTAATTCTGCATAGATTTAAATTTTCTCCTAAACTTTTTATTCTCATTCCCTCAGCCACAGAAAAAACACAGAGACACAAATCCCCTCTCGCCCTGCCTCCAGCTCCCACTGTGCCAGGCTTCTGTTGGGCTTCCCCAGAAGGCTGGGGGCGGGTCCTCTGAGGGGGTGCACAGGGGCCTCGTTGCCCTCCGAGGGTACTGACGTGCTGACCCCCACTTCTCCACAGGCCCACGTGTTTGACTTGTCCATCAACAAGTACGAGGCCATCTGCAACCAGCCCGTGGTGGCCAAAAAGAAGAACAAGATCACCCACGTGCAGTTCAATCCCATCTACCCCATCATCATCGTGGGTGACAACCGTGGGCACGTCACCTGCCTCAAGCTCTCACCCAACCTGCGCAAGATGCCGAAGGTACAGGCCGGGGGGGGTCTGCGCTGCCGCCAGAGGGGAAGTCTCCAGGATGGGGGTGTTGAAAGAAAGGGGAGGAGCCAGGGGGTGGCCCCAGGTTTCTGGCTTGGGACCCAGGGTAAGGGTGGTGTCATTGCCCAAATGAGAAGCATGGGAGAAGCAGGTTTGTGGAGAGACAATGAGATCGGTTTTGACATGCTGAATCTGAGTTACCTGTGAGCCCCCAGGTGGAGATATGTGGTAGGCAGGGGACACTATGGGTCCCAAGCCTGGGGGAAGCATGTGGGCATCATTGGCTTATTTGGTGTGGACCAGGTCACCCAGGCAGGGGGCTCGGGGCTCAGTCACTGCTTCATTGGCTGGGCTTACACAGAGCATGAGCTCCAATGTTCCCCGAGCTGGGAGCTGTGGGTGCACCCAGGGAAGAGGAAATAAGCCGTGAAGAGGGTAACTAGGTCAGCAGCCAGGCAGTCCTCCTTTTGAGTTCTGGTTCCTTTTTGGGATCTATGATGATCTGGAGACCCTGTCCAGAGCCCAAGGGTCCCAAATACAGGCCACGGAGCCCAGAGCCCTGACCTCAAAGTCTAGATCTCAGAGTCCCAATTCAGACTTAAGAATCCAGGCCTTAGAATCCAGAGCCCAAGAGTCCAACTTAAAAATCCAGAGCCCAGTCCTGCCCATTTAGGTGCTAAGAGAGGAAATGGAATTTGCTTTCTGCCAGGTTCTGGGCCAGGATGAGAGCTGGGCCATGGCTGGGCCAAGTTGCCCTGATGATGTACAGTTGCACTTTGAGGCATTTACTTGCAGTTTGAGGCAAGGGCAGGGGCCTATCTCTTTCAACTACTGACACCTGCTCCCCTGCGTCCCTACCAAGGCAGAGGCCACCGCACCATCCCTCTGGTGCAGGCCTGGTCTATTCCTCACCATGGCCAGCGAGGCAAGGGCTGGGAGTTTGGCCGGGCCTGTAATTGTAGCCAGCTGGGGGAGGGGGTGGACTTGGCTATAAATACTCAGAAGGCTGCTAAGCGCCTGCAGCTGTGGCCCAGAGGCTGCGGTGGGCTGGGGGGTGCTGGGCAGGATGGGATGGGATGGGGATGGGGCGTGGTCTGAAGCTCTTTGCTGAGCCCAGCTAGTTGGCCTCAAGGAGGGGGAAGGAGGCAGCACAATTTGTGGAACAGATAAAATCTGCTCTTAATTTAGTGAGGAGAGAGACCCAGGCTTGAGCTGGCAGAGATGGACAGCTCTGTGGGAGGGATCATGGCTGCCCCTTGGGGCAGGGGTACAGCCATCACACCGTGAGATGGTAGGTCTGGATGGGGGCCTGCTCTGCCCATTCTGACCAGGGAGGCAAGGATCTCCCACAGTCCTAATCCTCTCAGAGCAAGGTCAGTCACTGCTGGGAGAGCTGGGCTCTGTGTTTCTGAGGACCCACATCTCTGAGGACCTGAGGACATGAGTACCGGGGGTCAGAGGACCTGAGCAGGTGACAGCTGGAGGCTACCACTTGGGTGGATTGGAGGTTCCTGTGAAACTGCCATCTGACCTTATCAGCAGCCCAGATTCATGCAAAAGGAAGTCCTCTAGACATCCCTCCCACCCCTCTGGGGCTGCAGTCTCCCTGCCCTTCCCAAGAGGGCTGGCCACAGAGGCCTGACTTCCTGGCCCAGGGAGCTTCCCATGATTGGTGTCAGAGACCAGCTTGTCACAGGTCAAGGGCTGTCTTTCCCTCACTGCTGTATAGATGGGAAACTGAAGCTCAGAAAGGCAAGGGACTTGCCCGAGGTCATGTAGGGAGTTAATGACAAAGCTGGATCCAAAAGCCAGGTCCCCTAACTCCCAGGGAATGGGGTGAGGCCAATAAGAGATCATGAGCTTTATTTGGGAGGGAGAGAGGGAAGAGAGAGAAAGACATCTTTGTCCTCTGCCGTGAGAGTGAGGAGGTGAGCTGGGCAGTGGCAAAGGCATCGGGCTGCAAGGGGAGGGGGAGACAGATTTGGGAGCAGGTGCAGGGGTCACACCAGGAGGAAATCTGAGCTCCACATGGTGTCAGTAGCCGGGATGGGGCCAGGAAGGGGCCGGCCCTGCCCTCTCCCCCCACCTCACAGCCCAGACCAGACCCAGGCTGGGCCCGCAGCAGGCAAGGCTGGGGCGGGTGCCAGTGAGCAGTGGGCACAGGTGGCTGACAGGGCGGGGGCTCGGGAGCAGAGGGAAGGCAGGAAATGGCAGCTGCCCCGGCCTAGCCCACACCCCACTGCCTGCACAGAAGGGAGGATGTGACTGTGCTGGTTGCCAAGGAGCTCTCAGGGCCCTGAGTGACACACACTCTCTTTTTCTTGGGGCCCAGCTTACCAGCTGCAGCATTAGAGTGCCCTGTAGGCAGGGGTGAGGGGTCATAAATTCAGGATCTGCCCTTCTGAGAGACAGTCCCAGACAAGGACATCTGGAATCACATGAGATATCCCATCAGCCCTCTTGGGTCTCCTGACATCATTTCCCCCTCCCCAGTATGTTCCACACAGCAGGCCTGGCCCCAAATTGCACCTCACTCCCAAGAATTAGCTAAGACTACTAGGTGAGAGCACCTGTGGCTTTGTCCACACCCCACTCCCTCAGCAAACACACCTCTTAGTTCCTTGTTAGGACTTAGCCAGGGGCCATCCTGGGGGAAGGGTGGTCCCAACGGTCAGAGGCCCCACCTCTCCCCAGGGCTACAGCTCTCCCTGGCTTGCAGGGCTAGTTCCTGTGAGCGTCAGTGAGCGGATACCTTCCTCCGCTCCTTCCAGCATCAAGATCCTATGTCGATCTGAGGTTCAGAGCAAGAGCTGCATGCTTCTTGTAGGCCTCAGCTGGGCCCCTGTGTTGCCCAACCTGAGTTGGGGAAGGATCCTGTGGGGGTGGGGGGAGGCAGAGATCCAGAATCTAACTGGGCAGGGGAGGGGCGGGGCACAGCTGGGGTAGCTGGGCAGAGGAGGTGGTGCTGGGACAGGGAGAGGTGGCCCACCCCCTCACCATTCCTCCCCTACATGTACTTCCCCTCTCCCCAGGAAAAGAAGGGGCAAGAAGTGCAGAAGGGTCCAGCTGTGGAGATTGCAAAATTGGACAAACTGCTGAACCTGGTGAGGGAAGTGAAAACAAAGATCTGAGGGCCTGGCCTCAGGCCCTGTTCCATTTCTTGAACCCAGTACTTGTGTAGCCCCTGACTCTGGTACCCAAGCCTTAGAACCCCGTATGTGACCCCACCCCTGATCAGGCCCCAGCATCTGCCCTCAGCACCCGCTCCAGCCCTGGTCCCAGGACCTTATCCCAGGACTTGGCCCTCCACCACCATTACCCCCTACTACTCTGCACAAATAAACCTGTGTCTGGAAGCCCATCCCACACCTTTAATTTTGCTACCACAGGGCCCCCAGGAGGAGAAAATCTCAGGTTAGCCATAGTTCCATTTATTACCCAGCAAACAGTGGGAGGACCAGAGGAGGGGCCCAGCCTGGACACCCTCCCATTATTGCCATGGATTCCAGTTTGCTTCCCCAATCTCAAGGGCCTAGAGGCGATTGGCCTAGGGAGAGGGTGGACCCCCCCCCCCCCCCGCCTTGGAATGGAGCAGTTCAGATGGCCCTGGCCCTAGCACCAACTCATGAACCCCCAGCGCAGGCCTGTCTACCTGGGGCCACCAGAGCCCCTCTTGGAGCTGGCTAGACTCTGGGCTGCTAGATCCAGCTCCAGACAGGCTGTTCTCTGAGTTCTGAACCCCAGGCTGGCTGGACCCTGGGATCCTGATTCCAGGCTCTGGGTGGGGTCGACTTAGGTCTCCTACTCCAGGCTAGGCCAGGGGACTTCAGGGCTGCAGCAGGTAGCTGCCTTCATGGCTGGACTTCTGGGGCGGGGGCCCCTTCTCAGGACAGGGGCCAGGGCTGGAGTTGGGACTGGATTCGGAGAGGGAGTCGATGTCAGCAGAGCGGGAATGGCAGGCCCAGCAGAGAATGACCCAGAGCAGCAGCAGCAAGAAGCCTACGAGGCCGTTGCAGACGATGGCGATGAGGGCCCCCTGGGAGATGGCTGCCCCCATGACGGGCAGCACCCTCAGACCAGCACAGACCTTGGGGCTCCCTCAACGGCAAGGCCCATGCCGAGGCGGGACTCTGGTATAGCTGGCCTTCCACGGAGGCTGTCCTGTCCACACACTTGATGATTCCTGGGCAGTGGAGATGTCCACCAGCAGTCGTGAGCCTGTGGGGGGTACAGAGCAAAGGGAAAGGTATGAGGAGGCAGGGGTGGGGTGAGGCCTGGGAGAGGGGTAGCGGAGAGAGCCCCTTCCACATCTCTGGGCTCCCTGGCAGAGGACTTCGGGTCCCAGCAGGCCCAATAGCCCACAGAGCCAACGCCCCCTCCTCATGCCCCTCTCTGGGCACCTGGATGGGGGTGTAGCCACCGTGGGGAGGCTGGAGTAGGCAGCTCATTTTCTTTAGAACCAGTGGGCTCCCCCTGGCCCTGCCCACCAGCTTCCAGCCCTCCAAGGCACTGAGTGGGAGGGACTGACGAAGCCCAAGGCCTTGGAGGATGGAGGCTGTGACCAGTTTGGTGTGGCCCGGGCGCCTCCCCTCTCAGGACTCCAGCCAGGCCGCCCAGGGCCCTCCGGAGGCGCCGGCTCACACAGAGGAAACTTTGTGGAGGCCTGGCAGGCGGGTGTGGGTCTGCGGGCCAAGGCTGTGCCCCAGGTGTGCCCCTGGGGCCGCCTCTCCGGCCAGGGCTGTGTCTGCGCGTCTGGCTGGGTCTCGGGTCCCTCGCCTGGACGTGTGCCTTGGTACCCACCTCTCGGTCTGTGCAGCTGTCTGTCTCCCCGTGTAGCGTCTCCGTGTCTGTCTCTCTGTGTGTCCCCATCTCTGGTGTGTCTCGTTTCTCTCCAGTCTCTCTCTGTGTATCTCCGTACCCATCTCTGTGTGCACGGGTCTCTGTGTGTCCCTCTGTCCCCGTGGACGTGTCTCCCTCCTCTCTCCGTGGGTCTGTCTCTACACTTCTGTCTCTGTCTTTGTGTCCGTCTCTTTCTCCCCGCTGTCTCTGTCTCCGAGGGTCTGTCTCTTCACCTCCGTCCCGGGTCTCCGGTCCTCGCCTCGTGCCCGGGGGGAGGCCCCTTACCTGAGTGGAGCCCGGTGCGCGCCCGCGGAGGGTCCGGGGCCGCGGGATGCTGGGCGCCGACTGAGGCTCGGAGCCGGCGGCGGAGGGCGGCGGG